GAGTCCTGCATGCATCTAAAACAGCTTTTTAGTACTAAGTGTTTATTTGTACACATTATAAGTGAGCTTTAGCCATTTATATTGAAACTAAAACAATTTTTTCAAACGAGAAAAGTGGCGGAACTGCGCGCAAACTGGCAGGAAAAGATGTACCTTATTAAGGTAAACTGCATCTCGGTCGATTTTTACAGAGGCTCTCAAATATTAAAGCGGAGCATGATCTCATGCGCTAATTTAAAAATCAAAAGTTTAGTTGTAAAAGTAAAACGAAAGAAAAAAATAGTGAGATTATTGTTTGCATTAGTTTATGATATGACAAATATGGGATTTTTTTTTTTTTTACAATATTTTTTAATGTGGCTGATTTTTCCCATAAGGAACATCAAGGTTCTTTATTGTGGTTCACGTCACATGTGGTACATGAGGTGGAACAAAACTGTGTACTCAAGGTCTCAGTTACACCCCAAAATAGCAAACATATAAAGTCTATTTAAAAAAAAAAAGAAGAAACAGTACACATGATCTAAGATATACGCTAACCGATAATAATATAAATAAGTTGTATTAAACAGCAGCCTGAACATGAGTCTGTTGTGAGCAGATGGATATGGATACAGCAGCTTATGGGTAAGAAATCAGCAAAGACAGTGTGTAGTAAAGTTACTGCCGTGAGAGCAGTTGAAAACAACCTGACAAAATAAAAGTATAATGAATTTTAGGCTTTGTCAGATAAAAAAACATCATGTTTATTGACAACACCAAAATAAATAAATATAAATACAGACAAAAACAGATGTGGGTGATTTTATCCCAAAAGTTGCTACAAGGGAAATCCTAAATGCAGATCTTACTTTTGGCTCCACAATATGTGAAATATTGTCTCCATCACATTTCACATGTTAAAAACCAGTATACTAAATTATCATGGTTTGAAGTTAATCTCAATAATCCTGTCTCTCTGTGTGAACACCCAAGATACTGTAATAATCTGATAACCTGTTGTCATTATTTCGTTATGTTTGGTATCTTGTGCTAGTCTTCTATGTTCCATGTCTGTATTTCTGCTTCAGTCTATTCAGGTTTATTACACTAGAAGCATAATTTACATAAACAAAACAACATGTGGTAATACATATGATGTAGATGCTGTTTTTATTGCCATTATTTTGTGAAGTTAATTTAATTTAGAAGCTAATCTACATGGAACATAGGTGTGTATTCATGTACACGGGGGGTAAAAGACAACGTCAAACTTTGCTGTTAGGAAGTAGTTGTGGTTTATTTAGTAATAGAACTAGCTACATAAGTTTCACAAGCATCTTTTGATTGTTGGTAATGGCACAGGCTTGTGTTCTACTCAACAAATGCATAGCACTAAAGATTTTATAACATTTTATTTTCGTGTAGTTTGTAGAATAATTACTTCTTACTGAGGCTTATGAAGGCAACTAGTTCTGTGTAGATTTCTCATGGCAGCCTGCTTTGTTACTACATAAGGTTTTATGGCACAAATAATATTTTGTGATAAAAGTACAGTATGATGCAGTCGAAACAAACTCATATAATCAATGCATTTATATTTATACATATAGCCATGTGTATATCCATATATAAACTATATGCCCGGCAGGAGTGTCAAACTCACTTACAAAAAGGGGCCAAAATTAAACCTCTTTCAAACTAAGGGCCAGTTTCTGAATCTACATGAACTCAAGTTAGATACCCAACATGTTTTCTTGGTAGCAGGTTCCTCAACAAAAGTTTGATTGGTCTCATTTGATGTTCTCTGTTACACTTTCAATATCATAATCAAAGATTACTGAAAAAATTAAAGTGATAAAAGTATTTTACGTTTAACATATCATCTTGGGGGCCAGATAAGATGTCAACGAGGGCCACATTTGGCCCCCGGGCCTTGAGTTTGACACATGTGCCTTAGAGAATAAAAAGTTTTTACTCATAAGCCAAAGTTCATGCTCTATAATCCAGGTAAAAATCCAACAATGTTCCGTCAGGTCATCACTGAAGACACTGAAGTCGTCCTTTGGATGAAGGACGAAACGTCGCAGCAAAAAAAGAAACTGTCCGGATGACCGGACTGGACGTTGTTGGTTTTACTCATGAGGTTTGTTCTTAGATCTTGTATATTATATCTGCTTAAAACAGTGTCAGATAACACATTGAAATTATGTGGTTTTAAAAACCAGAGGGCCAGCGAGCGTGGTCTTAGAGATGGGGCACATTTTGCTGTTGGTAATATTGTTGTACCATCCCCAGATTACAAACAATCTGCACCAAATTCAACCTTTACTCTTCTTTATTTTCATGCTGTTGTTCTTTTGGCTGCTCACAAGTCTCATGCTCTAATGTCCTACACTAAATAGGGTGTTGGTCATTTTAGTTTGTAGTCAGCAGAGCATCGCCAAGATGTGAGGGCCATTCATTACTGCTTGCTTAATTATCATGTCAATAAAAATAATTCAAGGTTGTTTTCCTAATAACTACATGTCAAGACCGAAAAAAATTAAAATGCAATTTTTTGTTCAAATCAGGCAATTAATACCTAAAACAAAAGATGGCGGAATGACTAATGGAAGTACAATCTGTCCAACATTCCTGTAAAACACTCACAGCTGATTTACAAGACCATGACACAAATCTCAACAGAACAACAACAACAAAAAATGTCAGGAATCTTGATTTTGTTTCTTATGGCTTCTGTCATTATTTCAGCTTTTTTAAAGTTTAAATGAAAAAGGTTTAAAAAGTTTAGTTTTTCACATATAAAGCCCCCAGTTATAAACAATGAAGGGGTGGTGTGAGCACTACATGTACACTAACAGAGAACATCTCAACCGCACATAAACAACAAGCCAGTAGAGAACTGGCTGCATGACTGAAGTCCCTTAAGCGTGATTCAATGTTTTCAACATTTTCAGACGTGTACAAGCTGTAACCTGTGGATGGGGGTGGTGGGGCGGAGGTGGGTGGGGGGTCATGGTCTGGTGTATGCTTTGAAAAATAAAAAAAATGTTGACCATCTTTCGCTGAATGACCGACACGTTTTTCTCTCGCATGGTAAATATGAGGCTCATTTCAAAAGACATTTCAGTGAAACGGCTGCACAGACCAGGCCTTCCTCTAAATCACAGGAAGAGCATCCAGGTCCTGCTCAGATCTGAGCTTTCAGACATGAAGCGAGTCGAGCAGAACCAAAAGAGGTGTAACAGAACTCTGCTGGGCTGAAACAGAGAGTGATGCATTTAATGTGTGTTGGACGTCTCCCTCATGTCATTCACTAAATTACTGTAAAATTTGCTCTACAAGTTACAGTTTTTTGCATAAATTAGCACGCCTGCAACCTCTACAACGAAGCAATGTACTTATGTTTTGTTCCATAATTATAAGTAGTTTTCTACAACCAACAGCAGCTGATTAACATCTCAAAAGCTCAAATAATATCTCAACTACAGCCCCAAATCTCAAATGGGTTGAAAAGGATGTTCTGTGGAAGCATTCTCATCTACCTGCCAGCTGTACTCGAGTGCCTGACCACTGAGATCCTGGAACTACAAGGAAACACGGCTCATGACAGTGGAAGGACAGGATCGTCCCTCGGCACCTACAGTTGGCTGTCCGTAGTGACGAGGAGCTCGGCAGACTGCTGGGAGGAGTGGCCATCGCTCTGGGAGGAGTTCTGCCCAGCATTTAGGTGGTTCTACAGCCCGAGGGGAACCGAGAGGCCAGCCGAGTCTGGGTGGACGGATCAGACGGCATCTGCAGCCAGTTTCTTAGGATCCACTGTGGGATGGACCTTTACAAGAGATCCTTCCTGTCTACAGCATCAGTATCTATAACATCTCTTAACGAAATGAGGATAACGAGTTACAACAACAAATAATTTCCCTCTGGGATTAATAAAGTATTTTTGAATTGAATTGAATTGAATGACATAATTTTTGGCTGAGATCTGACGATTTCATTCGTTCTGACATGGAAAATCTTGAACACTACCATTTTCAGCCACTAGAGGGCCCTCGACTATTATGGCAAGCCAACAAAGTCCATGTTCAATGTCTCATTGATAGGTCAAAGTGGCTATTAATGAGACACTTGGCTTGCCATACAAAGCCACCTTCGTCTCGCTTCAGAACTCCTGGAGCAAATGTCAAATCAGCTGCATTTTGCCGCACCGCCCAGGTGAAATGCAGCTGATTTGACCGTCAAAGTGCATTTATTAAGGAAAAGTTCAACTGAAACACACCTTTGATATAATTTTGAGCAATTAAACAAATGTTTTTCAGTGTTAATTTTGTTAATTCTTGTTAAAGTCCTCCTGTGCACGCTCCCGTGGCTGCCATTTGGCAGCCAATCGATTTTTGGCTTAACACTGGTCTACATTTCCTATTGTCAGCGGTGACGCATAATAGATGTGACTTATATGGCGAAGTGATCTATTTATGTTTTTTCCACTTTGTTAGACATATTTGGACTGATGCGACTTATATAGCAAAGCGACGTGTATGGCAGCAAGTATGGTAATGACTTAATTCACTTTAGCGACCATGTTTGTGGTTAACAATATTTTTAAGACTAACTACAACGTTGCTGAGCATCATCTTCAGTATTCTCTCAGTAATCTGTTTGTTGTTGTTTAATCCTGCGAGTGGACCGCCCGTCACACACTAACTGTGTGTTCACCACAATACTGAACTGCAGCTCAAAAAGAGGATGTTCTGTACACTTGTAAAAATTATTTAACATTGCGAATACAATGTATTAAAGAAACAGCTGTTATATAGTTTGTGCTTTAAAAAGGTTACTTAAATGCCAGTTCACGTATCTTGTAGAAAGGTGAGCATTTAATTCATTTACTGTTTCTGTTTTAATTTGGCTGACACACTAAAATGTGTAAACCTCTTGGCTCTCAGTAGAGACATAAAAATTGACCTTTGACACAGTGAACCTCAGACAATGAGGAAGAAGGTACTTCATCTCACCAATGCTGTTTTTGTCACTGGGTCCTGGTACAACTGGCTCCCCTTGCTCGCCTCTCCTGTTCTCCTTCCATCTGCCCAGCCTCCTCTCTCCTCCTGCCCCACCTCTATCCGGACCATCGGATTGGACAATGTCCGACACTGACTCAAAGGCACTCTCCTCATCTTCATCTTCCTCCTGAGAGGAGAACACGGTGCTGCCAGAGAGTCGATTGCTGTCCACCGAGGAGAGGCGGGTGTGGCTGCAGACGCGACCCCTTGCCTCGTAGCCTGAGTTGCTGTAGCATGATGTGCTATAACAGGAGGTGCTGTAGCAGGAGGTGCTGTAGCAGGAAGTGTCGCAGAATTCACACTCGTGTTCTCCTGGAGGCCTGTGTGTGCTGCCACAGACTCTCCTTCCTCCTCCATTACTAGAATCCCCCTCTTCACTCTCTAGACAAGAGGGAGAGATCCTCCTCACCTCCGGAAGACCTCCTCTTCCTCTGTCACCTTCCAGGAGCTGGTTGAGCTCAGACAGATGCTCAATGGAGAGGCTGCGGGGCAGAGAGCGCCTGCAATAGGGGCCAGGAGACTCTGGCACCTGCAGGAAAACACAAACAGACAAGATCACACTCACGGGGATACACTGAGCAGCCAAACACTTCAGTTTTCTGTATTTTCTTGTATTTCATGGTTGAATTTGTTACTCAGGCTAAGCATCCAATAGGAAATCATTAAAATATAATCAAATGTGAGCTCAGAGAGTTCTGGATTATTGTTAACCTGTTCAAAATACTCAAATAATTTAAACAAATCCTATACAGTGTTTAAATAAATCACGGCACAGTTAAAAGTTAATGAGTTTATGCACAACTCACTGTGTGTGTGCTCGCTGTTTGGGAACTGTAAAAGTGTCAACAGCTCCAGGGAGCTGAAGATAGTGGGAGTAACTCATGTGCCTCTCACTCAGTGTGGGAGTCCCATGAGTGTGAGCATGCAAGAAAACAGCTGAATAAAAATAATAATGAATAAACCCCAAAAATTCTGTATTGAATTATTTCTGATCTGAAATTATTTCATATAAAAACTGCTACATTTACTAAATCTGAAGAACTCAATGGAACCTTTATGATAGTTCTACACTTACAGTAGTAGCTTTACGCTGGTCTTACACTGAATACAACCCTGATAATGGTTTTATGGTTAAAGAAGAACCCTAAAGACGGTTGCACACTGACAGCAGAACTCTGACACTGGTCTCACACTGTCAGTAGAGCCAAGAAGATGGTCTTTCATTGACAGTTAAACTGTGACAGCAGTCTTATACTGACAGTAGAACCCTGACAGTGGTCAAACATGACGAGTAAAATCCTGAAGATGGTCTAACATTGACAGTCGAACCCTACTGATGGTGTCACACTGACAGCTGAGCCGTGACATTTGTTTCACATTCAAAGTAGAATCGTGTTGATGGTGTCAGAGTGAAAGTAGAACCTTGGTGATGATTTCACGCTGATATAAACATTAGCAAAAGTCTGATATTGACAGAAGAACAGTAACGATCTCACTCTGACAGTTGAGCCCTAGTAATGGTCTTGTACTGACACGAGAAACCTGACTTTGTCTCACTGATGGAAAAACCCTGAAGATGGTTTCACATTGACAGTAGACCCCTGAGGCTGGTCTCACAACAACAAACCTCTGACACTGGTATTGTACAGGCAGTAGAATCCTGATGCTGGTCGCATGCTAATAGCAAAATTCTGAAGATGTTTTCACACTGCCAGAGGAACCTCAATGCTGGTCCCATATGGTTCCTATGCATTGTAAGGCCCAGCTTGGACTGACCCAACCCAGGCTCTGCCCCAAGTTTTGAGTGTTGACATTGTGCAGTCTGGCTCGGTTCCATCTCGATATTTGAAACCAAGAGACCTGGAACATCATTCTGGCCAGGCTGTTGCTGCAGATTTGACGTCATCAGACTGCTGGCCATTGATTAGTTCGCTGGCCCGGGGCTCACATCACAGTCATGTGATGAGTCATACTTCCAGCAACTGCTTCTTACCGTCTTTTCCTTCAGCTACTTGCTTCTGGGTCATTGTGTGATAGAGAGCTCCTGTTTTTCTTTAGAAAAAATGGCAATGCAAAAGATAGCACCAGTGCCCTGGAAAAACAAGAAGGTGCAGCTATTGCAAAGCAGAGATTCGTGCAGTCTTGCAATGATCAGTGTTGCCAGATTTTGCATAGAAACAAGCAACCAGCTTTATGAAAACAAGCCCAAAACAAGCCCCACTGGCAACCCAGCACATTGTGTAAAACAGAGGCCATTTTCTAAACAGTATAAACATACATTTATTATGGAACAGCAACATTATGCTAAACACTTTGAATAACATACTTTTAATCTCTGATAAAAAAATACATTTTGCATATGTAATTTTTCTACATATTTTTTTACAAACAAAACATTCTGACATCTGTTTTTGAGTGGAGCCCCCTAGTGGTCAGCCACAGGTTGTGTTTGGGTGTGCGCCTGTCGCCTCGCCAACTTGGGTGGGAGCGATAAACAGTAAATGGGGGTGTGGAAAGAACAAACTACCTACTACCACTCGTCTATTGCTTTATTGTATGGAGCTGGGAGATAATCAACTACGTAGTTTCACTCGGAAAGAAAGTCCAGCCCAGATAAGCAACTTCATGTTCAAAACAAGCCCAAAAATCTGCAACCCGCAACTCACAAGATTTGCAAGCAACTTTGGAAAAAAATACAAGCCCAAAGTCGCTTATAATAAGCGGACTTGGCAACTATGATGATGATCCCACCCACATTGAGGCAGCACTCTGCTGAAAGCAATCAGAGGTGGGGAAGACCGAGGCCGGACCGACTGTAGCCAGTCCAGGTCAGGAGGCAATACTGACAATGGAACCCTGATACTGAAATCACACTGACAATGAAACACCAGTGAGATTCACATGGAGATTAGAACCCTGACACCTGCCACACATAGATAATGGATCCCTGATGGCATCACACTGACAGTAGAACCACAATGTTGATGTGATACTGTACATAGTAGTCTGATGCTGGCATCGTACTGAGAGTACAATAGTGTTAGAAGTTTAATCTTGCTGGAGGCCCAGTCTGATCTACTCTGACATAACCTGGTTCAGAACAGATCATACAGTCTCAGCTGCTCACAATGAGCAATCCCAGGGTCAACAACCGATAAGGAGTCATTTTTGTTTGCTTGCTTCCAACACTTAGATATATTTGCACATCACCCTAATATCCACCATCAGAAACAGATAAGACCAATGACGTCACACATAGTCACCCCACTGATACACTCTGATTGGCTGTGCCTGTCCCGGATGTGAAGGCAGAGCCAAGGCCCAACATAAGCTGGGACGTTCGGTTGCACGGGGTCTCCACTTCCGGTTCCAGGTTAAGCCGGGTTGGATGGATGCCTCAGCGCTAAGCTTGTAACTTTTCCTTCTTTACCTACATTAAAAGGTAAAAATAATTGACCTCTCTTGATTTTATTGAGTTTGTGTGTGTTTTCTCGCCACCTAGGAACAAAAGAACCGGAAAGGTGCCGTGGTCGGACAGCTGACAATAGTGATGATAGTCTCACACTGTCAGTAGAACTCTAATAATGGTCTGGTTGTGACAACATAACACACTGGTCATACACTTACGCTGAAAATTAAGCTCTGATGATGGTCTCCTACTGACAGTAAATCCCTGAGGATGGTTTCACATTGAAAGCCTTAATGAAAGTTGTACGCTATGGTGTGCCCTTAAAAAGACATTAAGTTCCTGATGGGAGACTTCCGTTGACAACAGAAGCCCAACACTGATCTCACACAGTCAGTAGAACACTGATACTTGTCTCGTGACAGTGGAACTCTAATATATGTTTCAGACTCAGTAATACTTTGATGCTGATCTTACACTTGCAGCAGAAGCTTGACACTTGTCCTAGTAGGATGCTGATAGTGGTGCCACACTGGCAGTGGAATCCTAGTGATATTCTCAGAGTGACAGTAGAACCCTGATGCTGGTCTTGTATTGACCGTAGAACTGTGACGTTGGCCTTATACTCCTGGTAAACCCTAATGCGGACTTCACAATTGCATCTGAACCTTGATTTTCATCTCAAAACTAAGTAAAGCCCTGAAAGCAGTCCTAAACTGACAATGGAACCCTGCTGTTGGCCTTAAATTCACTGTAGAGCCCTATCAAAGGTCTAACACTACAGCTATAACTTGATAACGGTCTCTGACAGTGGGAAACCAATGATGATCTCACACTGACAGTGGTATGCTTATGTTAGTTTCACACTAGTAAAATAGTAGATCCCTTAAAAAGATTTCACATCATTGTATAGTTGAGCCTGCTCAAACATCTGCTAAGTTCCTGGCAAAAACCAATGCAGACATGTTCCTGTTTTGAGTATTCTATATCGCTTTACAACATAGCTGTTTTTGTTTCGTTTTTTTCATACCATTTTCTTTTATTTGTTCTTCTCAATTTGTATGCTTTTTATGGTTGTCTACTGTTGTATTTATTGTCTACTGTTGTCATCATTCTTTGTTAAAATTAGATCTCTCTTGTAAATGAGTCCCCAAGGCTCAATGGGATGAACCTGTATAAATAAAGTTTGAATTAATTAATTCTCTTTTTCTCTCTTCTTCAGTATGTAGGTCCTGCTCCTTTCAGAGCAGGGTCAGCCACATGGATTATTCTTCTCCATTTTTCTCTGTTTCTTGTATTATCTGTTGTGAAGTGGAGTGTCTTCATATCCCGCTGGATCATATCCATTCATCTCTTCTTCTGCTGTTCCCAGCTTTGTTGACCGAAAACGTCTGCATTTAATAGTCTTTTTACCTTGTTGTCATCTTCCATTCACTGCACATGCTCATACCATCTCACTCTTGATTTCTGTATCTTATCCATGATACATGCCACACCAAGCATTTTTCTGACATAATTTCACCATCTATCCTTGAGAGGTACTATAAGAATCCCACGTAGCATCCACATTTCTGTTCTTTCCAGGAGTTCTGATTCATTTCTCTTTAATGTCCATAACTCAGCTCCACAAAGCAAGACTGGGCGCACCATCATTTTGTACACTTTCCCTTTAATATAAATCGGCATTCTTTTGTCCCAAAGCACTCCTGCTCCTTCCGATTTTGCCAAGCCGTACCAATTCTGCGTTTAACGTTTTCTTAACAGCTTCCTATGGCATTTATCACCAACCCCAGATACTTGAACGTTTCAATCTGCTTCAGTACATTTCCCATAGTATCAGTAATTGTTAAGGCCTCGTTAGCTTTCTAACAGACCATGGTCTCTGTTTTTGCTGCATTTATTTTCAGACCTTTGCTCTCAAGTGCATGCTGCCACTGTCTGAAACTATCTTGGAGATTAACTTCAGAATCACCAGTCACAACCAGGTCATCTGCATATAACATATCCCATGGTACTTCTCTCCTAATAAGCTCAGTAATTGCACCCATCACCACAATAAACAACAGTGTGCTGAGACATGAACCCTGATGAACACCAACTTTAATCTCAAATGCTTTTGTGTTGCCTTTGCCAGTTCTGTATGTTGTTTTAACATAATGCCTTTCTGTCTGAGGCTCCACCTAAACCACCTCTAAACCACCTCTCGCAGGACCCTGTTGAAAGCCTTTTCCAAGTCCACAAACGTCCAGTTTCTGCTATTGTTTCCCTCCAAGATTTTTTCCTGAACCTGCCGGAGAATGAAAACCGCATCAGTCGTGCCCTTTCCAGGCTTTGTAGAGTCGAGCACTGATGTTGTTCTAACCCTCACCATGGGACTTTGTTGATGGTCACAGACTGACAGATCCCAGACATTACATTCTTACTGTTGTGGATCACAGAGGCTAAACATCATAACATTTTTTAAGCAACTGTTGTTTTTTAAAAAATAAATAAATGTAATATTTACTCATTTTATATTGACCTTTTTATTTATAATGTTAATGTGAAACAAGATCTTATATTGTTAATTCCTCATTTTTCCTACAAATTCTGGCCCCTATTTGTAAGGATGCTACAATTCTCCTGAACCCAAACTACATAACGTCTGCTAATTTACTTAGTTCTTGTATAACCTTTAACCCCTGTTAAATGAGTGAAGCCGTTGTATTTCTTACCTTCAAAATAGTGTACCTACCTGAGATGGAGACTGGATTGTATCCTCTCCATTCTGTCCCCACTCTTCTTTATAGGTGTTGAGTGTTGGTGATGTGACGTTGGAGTCCACACCACTGCTCATCCTTTCTTCTTCCCCCATTGGCTCCTTCTCCTGGCTGGGAGCTCTGGCCGATGGGAGGCTGTGGAGGAGATGGTGAATCCGGATGTAGTGGGATCTCGGTGTTTCTGGGTCACCGCAAGCCGACGCAATCACCGTCTCCAACTCTGACACTGGGAGGGAGCAGGGGCGGGTTTTACGTCGTGATGGAGTATGGGAGCTGTAGTTAGTGAAGAGAGACTGGCAGGAGCAAGGAGCACAGCTTGTTTCTCCTGCCTCCATCACATCCTGCAGGACTTCCTGGGATGGAGGGTTCTCCTTCACAGCAGCAGTGTCATCATCCATTGGTGCTGCTGTAGGATGTTCAGAATCCTGTTGTGCTTTGTCCTCAGCCTCTTTTTCTTCTACTGCCACCTCCTCTTCAGTTTGTGGAACTGACTCTCGACTCTGCTCCTCATCTCCTCTGTCCTGCTGTTCAGGTAAAATCCTGCCCTCCTGCTGCTCTTCAGCCTGAGAGGTCGGGGTTTCATCCCTCACTGTGTCCTCCTCCACGGTTCCCTGCTCCATCTGAACAGTTGTTTCTTCTTCCTCCCTCTCAGTAGGAGGGTTGTTCTGGTGCGTGGGAGTGTCAGCATCAGGAGCTGCATCCATGGGGAGATCAGTCATGTCAGGGCCCACACTCATAGTATCATCGTCAGGGGCAGCAGCAGCATGGTTCTCTTCGGCTGCATTTCCACCCTCTGTACAGGCCAGCTCCATGACAAGAGAGACCTCCTCATCATCTGAGGACAAAGCAACAAATAAAAGACTTTTAGAAGCTGCAGCATTTTGATGACTGTTTTGGAAACTTTTAGTCAAAAATATGATTTGTCTACAACCTAAAGGATTCTGTAGAAAGATTTTGGAACACTTGGAGGCCCTTTAGGTTGTATTTGGAAAGTATGTCAATGCCTGTTTAATTTGTTTATGTATGTTTGACTGATCCAGTGGAGGGAAGGGGTGGTGGTGGAAATGGAAAAATCAATAAAAACACTTTGTTTAAAAATAATATATGTATGATTTGTGGACACTGCTGCTGCTTTTTCACACGGCATCATTCATGTTCTGCAGCAGAAATGAGCATCTTTCTGTCCACATGTCACTATACTCACATTGAGTATCAGATCAACAAAATGAAATATGGGAATTTTAATTAAGTCTTTTTTAGATATTTTGTCCTGAAAAAAATAATAATGAGCAATAACTTTTCAACTGAAGTCTAAATGAATGAAAGTGAGTACTCACTGAGCTCATCTCTGATGTTTTAACATGCAGTGGGGAACAAACGTTAATAAATACCTGTAAAAGTTTTCAGACAGAACTGAAATCTGTTTGAGTGCTGCAGGTTTGATGCTTTTTAGGTTGAGTGGAAGTTTAGTGACAGAGAGACAAACTCATCCTGCAGAAACTTTGGCTGATCTTAGGTTCTCTAATGATAGTGCAGTTCTTCAAACATGTGTCTGTCTGACATTCTGTCTAACATTTCTCGTGTGCCTTCTCTAAAGGCGCCCTGAGGGTTCCACACTGGGGATATTTACCTTTCCTACCAAAGGGGATGAAACTGAACAGAACAGTTAACTGTTCAGCCATGCACTGCTCATAAATGGGGGGAGGGCTGTTGATAATCTGTGTGGGACAGCCCTGCACCTACCTGGGTGGATAGATGAGGTGAGCTCAAAGCAGAACAGCAGCTGCCCACAGACATGATCTGTCGGTAACTTACGGCCCAGAGAATAACTCACAACTCGATCTCTGTGGATGAAACAAACAGTGGACGCTCAGAACAGACGAACACCAGAGGATCTTATCAGGAAATGATCTGCAGCAGCACGGTTTTATGAGGGAGTGCAGTCCGAGCTGGAACAAACCTCCGTGTGAGTGTGTGCTGTGTGTTTTTACCCGATGGCATGTTTTTCCAGCAGTCTTTGAACTGGCACAGAAAGCTTTCCCAGAAAGCGCTTGATGATTGGCCGACTCTTTGCAAACTTGTCCTTCACCTCTATTTCCAGGACGTCAGTAGGCAGGGACACAAAACTAAACCTCTGTGGGAACAGGAGAACACAGAACAAACAGCGCCATTAGGACTGGTGTTGGAGAAATGTTGTTTACTGTCAGAGAAACTTTGATCGACGGTTATGGAAGTTCTTATTACTATGGCTGAGAACAAGAAGCCCAAGACTAATCAAAACCATCTCCCAAGACACTGTCTTATCTCTGCCCATGAACCATATGTTTGGGTTAACAAAGAGCGGCTGCAGCTGGCTGCAAGGAGCTCCTGACCTCTGTGAACTTGGCTGAACTGAAAAGGATAAAGACGAGCGGCTGACGCAGCTCAGGGCTAATTTCTGTGAGATGTTCTATACATCATGTGTCTTTGTATGTAATCTGTCTTGAATGGGTCTTTGCGAGTGTAAATGCTGGTTAAAAATCTTCTCCTGCTGTCGAGTACGGTTCTTTTGGGTAAACAACATAAATAAGACGGATTTTCTCCAACATTTACCCAAAAGAACCACACTCAATGTCAGGAGAAGATTTTTAAATGGTATTTATATATGCAAGGTCAGGTTTTAGGAGAGGTTAAATAAACATACATATATCACATACATACAGTGGTGCTTGAATGTTAGTGAAGCCTTTATAATTTTATATATTTCTGCATAAATATGACTTAAAACATCTTCAGATTTTCTAAGTCTAAAAGTAGATAAAGAGAACACAGTTAAACAAGTGAGACAAATATTATACTTGGTCATTTATTTATTAGGAAAATGATCCAGTATTACATATCAGTGAGTGATAAAAGTATGTGAACTTTCAGTATTTGGTGACCCCCACCCCCTGCCCCATGCAGTTGATCAGTTTTGATCACCGGCTTGGAGGAATTTATTT